CAATAGAATGCTATGCAATACTCAGGAGAAACAATTTCATAAAATACTATGTAACAAGAGAGAGGCTGGAGAACATTATACTGAACTAGCTCAGTTTCATAAAGACAAATACTTCATAAGATAAGACCATTATTGTAAAAATAGTAGGATAACTTGTAATATGTGGGTAAAAGTCCAAATGAGGAAGTGGACCAAGGCAGTAGGGGCTGTGGGTGGGGAAATTGTAGGGATAAAGAGTTTTGTGGGTGGAAGGATGTTGCTGTTGTTATGTGCCTTGAGTCACTTGCAACCCAAAGTGACCCTATGTACAGCAGCTCTGAACCCTGCCCTGTCCTGAGCCAGTCTCACTAATTCTGACACACCAACCTTCTTTGTCCCAGTTACTGTATCAGTTTACCTCATCTGGGGTCTTCCTCTCCTGCACCTTCCCTTCACCCTTCCAAGCGTGATGTCCTTCTCCAAGGACTGGTCTTTCCTGGCCATATGCCCAAAGTATGTGAGATGGAGGTACAAAATCCTAGCCTCCAAAAAAAAACTTGGTTTCACTCTCTCCAAAACAGACTTATTTCTTTTCTTGGCAGTGCATGGTATATTCAAGTCTCTTCTCCAGCAGAGACATAGGGTGAAAAAAATAGAACAGATCTAGTGGAGACCTGAAATGACAGAGTGATAGTGGGCATAGATCAATGGTGATTAATTTTATAAAACACAGTGTAAAGGAATGATCACGTAATGCAAATAAAGAAATGTGTGAAACACACATACATGAATGAAATAAATTGCATACAAATTTTGTATGAAAATCAATGCAAAGAATATTATATATATATGAAATAAAACTAAGAAAAAAAACTGTGGTTGGCTTTTAAATAACAATGACAAAGTATTTGTAAGATAAAAGTCTTATCAGTCAGAGTACCATGGGGATATAGGAACTACACCACATCGGTTCGTATTTTGCCTTGTTTTGATGGGTTTTATTCATATACATTGTGTTTCACATATTCCTTCATTTACATTTTGTGATCATTCCCATGCACTGTGTTTGTTGTTGTTGATTGCCATCTAGTCGAGCATGACTCATTGTAACTCTACTTACCCAAGGCCTGAAGCCTTTCTATAGCTATTGTCCTTTATCAAAGTTCATTGGGTTTCCAGAGGCATGTTATTTAAAGGAAGTATATATTTAGCATATTGCGTGGCTTCCTAAGGTTAAATTCAGTTACCATTGTGAAACAAGATCAATTATCTTGAAAACAAGTTTAAGAGGCCACATAGCATTAGAGGAACTCAGAACAAGTGTCCATTTTCTGGTCCTTGACTCATGGTAACCTTACATGTGTATTAACAAATGAAGTGTTTCCCAATCCTACATCACTCCCATGTCTCTTGTCATATTTCAAGACATTGTTGCTACCACTGTGACATTCCTTTTCACTGATGGCTTTTCCCAATTCCACTGACTCTCCACTTAGCCAGATATGATGTTGTTGGTCTTCTTTGGCATGTGTTCAAGGTAAGCAAGGTGAATTCTTTCCATCTCTATAGCTATCTAAGGATCATTTTTGTGTACTTCTCCATAGCATTCTATTTCAAAATATAGATCTATAGGTACTTCTGTAGAGTGTGTGGAATAAAATGATTTGGTAAAACTGTGTAAAATAACCTGTTGTTGTTAGGTGCCATCAAGTTATCTATGATTCAGAGTAATCCCATGAACAACAGATTGAAACCTTGTCCTACCCCGGTGTCATCGTAATAATCTTCACCATGCTCGAACTCATTGCTGCAGTCCTGTCTATTTTGTTTCAGTGTATTTTGTTGAGGGTTGCCTTATTCTTAACTAAAGATAAGAGGAAAGAAGGGACAAGAGAGTAAAGAGGATAAGAAAGGAGGAGAAGGCCATTTCTTGGGTCCAGTTAAAGAAGGTGATGAGATGGCTCACAGGTGTTTGTTGAGGAAGTAAAGAACAATGGAGACACATAGAGTAACAAATCAATCAGAGCAACTTCTCTTCACGGTGGAGAAAGGGAAAGAGTCGGGATTTTCCACACTGACCCTACTTAATAGCAGTTACTCAGCAGAAAGAACTGTGACACTCTGGCATCATTGAGCAACCTTGACTTCACCCTCCCCACTCCACACCCTCTATTATTATAAAGAGAAGAAGAGTTCCTTCTTTAAACTGCGCACTTGAGGACAATGTGGAGCTTCAGTGTACTCCTCTTCTGGGTCATTCTGCACTGGAAATGGGGTGTAGGGAAAAGTGAGGCTCTTGGGATCTATGAGTGGCAGACGTCATCATTTGAAGCCTCAGGTGAGGAGAAGGTCTTTAAGATTGCAGATCCTAAATATGAAAGTTGCTTCTTTAGCATCTCAGCACTGAAATGAGCTCTTAGCAATCCTTATTCTGTGGCTGAAAGCTGGTCAACGAAGAATAGGTATTATTATGGTGATGGTAGGACAAGAGTTATGAGGATGGTAAATGAAATTACGTTAGTAATAACGGTGATCATCGTGGCGATGAGGAGGATGATGACGGACAATAACGGCGGTGATTAGGGTGGTAATGATGGCAGTGATGACGATGATGACAGCAGTAGTGATAGAAACGATAATGCTCATGGTGATGGCAGTGCTATGTTGATGTGATGGGGAGGAGGACGACTAAGGGTGAGGAAGATGGTGATGATGTAAACAATGGTGATGTGACGGTAGTCATGGTATTGAGGGTGCGCATGGCGATGCAGATAAAGCTGATGATAAGCGATAATTGTTATGAGGATGATGGTAAAGATGGATGATAAAAGTGGTGATGATAGTTGTGGCAGTAACGATGATGATGATGAAGGTCAGAGTCATGGTGACTCTTGGATGATGATGGTAATTTAATGATGATAATAGTGCTGTTGCTGCTGATGGAGGAGTAATGAGCACTGAAAAGGAATCTGCTGTAAGAAATTTTTAAAAAACTGCTATCTCGATTTTTATGAGATTTTTAATACTATAGACATACCACATATATTTTTGTATTGTATGCATATTTATTTCTGCTTTATACAGAAATCCAAGCACCAGTGAATGCTTACCTCGGGGATATATCACTCCTGTTTTGACGGAGAGAGAGAGTGTTGGAAATAGGAGTGACATCCACTTCCTAAATAGCATGCCTCTGGAAACTCTATGAACTTTGATAAATGTTGATAGTTGTAAAGGGGCTTCAGGCCTTTGGTTCATAGGGTCACTGTGAGTCATGCTCGACTCAAAGGCAATCAACAACAACTCTCTCTATATATATGTATATTATATGTACATAGACATATACACACATATATGTATATACATACACACACACATATAGAGAGAGAGAGAACGCGCCCTTTGTTTTACATTTGTCACAACAACATGAAAATTAATTTTTAAGTACAGCAAAGTAGGAATGCTGATTGTAAAGATTATGTAAAATAATACCTATGTATTGGCTGGAATGACTGTATGATGTAAATGGTTAATGAGCTCCCACAGGCGATGAGAATCAATTTGTCATGGGTTTCTGTGAATCAGAATTGACTCAGTGGTTGAGTTTTACTTTTGATTCCATAGTTGGACTTTTCACTTGTGATCATCAAATTTATTGCTATGAGGTCAAGCCCCATGTTATGTAGTAAGTCAATGCTAAAGGACTTTTCAGTGGTTCATGGCATTTTCTTTTTCAGGAACTATATCTACATGGGAGATGACTACAGTGCCCCTATTCGTGCCAGCCAGAAATGGTAAGTTGTCCATAGAGAACTAATCTGACATAAGAGATAGAAGGATGTTTCTATATCAGAGAACTTCCGTCCTAACAGTCTGAGCCACAGCGAAAGCGTTTCTGAGAGTTAGTTAGCAGCAGAGCAAGGGTTAAAGACCTAGGCCTCCTAGATCTTACTCCAAGCCTTTCACTTGTGTCCTCTACCTACTGCGTGGCCTCAGGCAAGTCACAGAGCCTTCACCTCTAAAATACAGATAATGGTGATTCCTATTCACTACAGATTGCCTCTCAACGTCAAGAAAACAAAAATTCTCACACTGGACCAATAAGCAATCATGATAAATGGGGGGGGGGGGGATTGAAACTTAAATACTTCATTTTACTTGGATCCACAATCAAAACACTTAGTACTTGTTGTTGTTATTGTTGTTTAATGCCGTCTAGTTGTAGACGACTCATAGCGACCCTATGAACGAACAGCCTGAGCACTGTTCGTACATAGAGTTTCCAGAGGCAAGCCATTTTGGAAGTGGATGCCGCTCCTGCTTCCAGGCTTGATTTAGTCGGGAAGCTCCAGCCAACACTGTCCACCATGGGTGCCCATTACCACGATTGGCACATCCCTGTCACAGTCGTCAGCATCACAGCAACCACGAGTTACCTCTGTACAACAATGCACAGACCAGTGCTATACCACCTAGAAGAATGTTTGACAGGAAAACAATTTGAACACTTAGTACTGTTGTTGTTGTTATGTGCCGTCAAGTCGCCTGCGACTCATAGCGACCCTATGTACGACAGCCCTAAACTCCGCTCTGTCCTGTGCCAATCGCACTGTCTCTGACAATCCCATCCCAATTATCCCAGTCACTGAATCAATCCACCTCATAGAGGGCCTTCCTCTCCTGTGCTGTCCCTCCACCCTCCCAAGCATGATGCCCCTCTCCAAGGACTGGTCTCTTAGTACTAGGAGTCAGAAAATCAGGAGATGTATTGAATTGAGGAAGCCTGGAGTCAGGAACCTCTCCAAATTACTGAGGATAAATGAGGTTAGTGTGAGTACTAGGTGCACTTGATTCAAGCCGTTGTCTTATCAGTCACTTGCTATGCGTCTGAGAGCTGGACAACGAATAAAGGTGAAAGAAGAATTGATGTCTTTGAACTGTGGTGTTAGAGGAGAGTGCTGAAGATCCCACTGATGGCAATAAAATACAGACAGAAATATCTTGGAAAAGATGCAGCCTGACTTCTCCTTGGAGGGAAGAAAGGTAGAAGCTTGGATTCACATACTTTGTTGCTATGAGAGTCTATTCCTTGGGGTGGGACACTGTGCTTGGAAAGTTAGGAGGGCAGCAAAGGAGAGGAAGATCCTCAACCAGGTGCCTCGACAAAGTAACTGCTGCCATGAAGTCGAGTGGGCCACAGATTGTGAGGATGGCACAGAACAGGACAGGGTTCAGATTAGTGGTTTGCAGGGTCACTATGAGTCATATTCACCTTGATGGCACCTAACATCAACATCTCACAAACTTTTTTAAGACCTAAAGTTTAAAGCACAACTTGCAAAGGACTTGGGGTGTGTTAAGTGTTTTGAAGTTTAAATGGAAAAAGATGCTCCATAAATGAGAGCATGTAAGAGGTGGGGATGGGTTTTACTCAAATTCCAACTTAGAGGAACATAGAGAGTTTTAAAAAATTTTTTGTTTGATTAATTTTAATGAAAATTTACAGAGATTTTGGATTTCCATTCATTCATTGTTGCACTTTTTTCTCTGCTCCCACGCCCCCACCCCAGTTCATTCCTTTCTTTGAAAAGCAAAAGATAAACTTCTTCATTGGTATATAATCCCCCTGTCCCCGCCCACTCCACCCCACCCCGAATGCACTCCACTATGCAAACTTAATTCTGTATTCCTGTGATAATCATAATACCCTTTCATATATAGCTTTTAAACTGTTCTGTCCCTCATCTGTTTCAATTCAGTATACATAATCTGTCCAGTTTTTCTCAGTCTTACCCCAACCCTGATATCAGTCTCATTTTACAACAGTGGCACTATGCAGTATTTGCCTTTGTGTGACAGATATTTTACCCAGCATAATGTCCTCCAGGGTCACCCATTTTTAATAAACTTTAGGCTGAAAGAAAAAAGAAAAAAATAGAAATATTTTTCAAAATGGATGACCTGTAGGACATTATGTGGAGTGAAATATCTCAGCAAAAAAGGACAAATACTGCTTGGTGCCACTGTTGTAAAATAGGACTGACCTCGGGGTTGGGGGGGAGACTGAGAAATATGGTATAAATGATGTATACTGCATTGAAACAGATGAAAGAGAGAACTGTTTAAAAGGTATATATGGTTAGGTATTATTGTCATGACGTGAGTCCAGAATGAAGGCTGCATAGTGGAGTGTCCTTGTGGGGAGATATTGTGTAAAAATGAAAGACTTTTACTTTTCAAAGAGAAGAACAAATTGGAGGGGAGGGGTGAGCAGGAAGAAAAGTAAAACAATGAATGAATAGAAATCCAAAACCTCTGTAAATTTTCATTAAAATTAATAGTAATAAAAAGATTAGCCAGATTTGGGAATCACTAACCCAAAGTTGGTGGGAGAAGGAAAAAAAAATAAAAAAAGATATGTAGCCTTGGAAGTCCTAGGGGCCCTTTGTTTTATTCTGCCTTACAAGGTTACCTAGAAGCAAGGAGCTGTACTGCAATCCTGAATGCAGCAGTTCAAGGTCACTAATTGATCCATGGGTGAAAGATGGGCAATTTCCTTCCACTGGATTAACTGCCTCTGATAAACCTGTTGGAGGGAATAGCAACATCAACAACAGAATTACCATGAGTTGAACTTGACATCAAGGCATTGGTGTCTGTACTTTTTTTTTTTTTTTTAAAAAAAAGGAAAAGTCTCTGCTCTAGGGGAGAAATTTTTTTTAATTAATACTTTTATCTCTCATAGACGTTGTATGTCAGGCATGTACATTGTATTTTATACAGTATTTGTCTCAACTTTGATTTTTTTTTTCTTTTTTTAATGAATTTTAATGAACGTTTACAGAGAGTTTGGATTTCCATTGCCAAATGTTTTTTCCCAGTAGGTAGGTTTTCTTTTCACTCTCTTGGGAAAAGTTCTTGATGAGTACAGGGATTTAGTTGTTAGAAGGACTCATTTGTTAGTTTTATCCTCTTCAGAATGTGCATTTCTGGCTGTATTTGGCAGCCCCTTTATACTGTATACTAAGACTTCAAAGCTTGGTCTCAGTTTGTCTCTTAGAAACTTTATGGTTTTGGGCTTTATTCCTCCTTGAGATGGCTTTTGTGTATGGTGTGAAATGTGGATCCTGTTTCAGCTTTTTACAGTTAGCAGTCCTGTTTTGTCAGCACTAATTGTTGAAGAGATTGTCATTTCCCCATTTGATAGGTTTTATTTCCTTGTTGATTATCAGTTGACAATGGAGAGATGGGTCCATTCCTGGGTTCTCAGTTTTGTTCCATTGGTCTATGTGCCTGTCATTGTACCAGTACCATGCTGGTTTTGTTACCACTCCTGTGGAAATGCCATACTGCCTTCCAGAGTGGTGGTTTGAAGTTAAGGAGTGGTGTGCCTTCCACTTCATTTTTATTTATCAAAAGGACTTTGTTTATTCAGGTCACCTTCCTCTCCAAATAAACTCGACAATTTCCTTTACAATCCCCTTGAAAAAGGAA